CTGTCCTCAGATAACTAGTCCTGGCTTTAAAAGAGATAACAGAATATTAATACATCTGAACTCGCCTACCTCTGATGTATATAATACTGAGGATGAAAAAGGTAAAACTTCTTAAAAAGAACCACAAACATCTGATACTAAGTAGATCAAAGTGTTTCCTAATATCACATCAGTTTAGAATCATCTCCTTCTTCTTTTTTTTCTGGGACAGAGTTTCGCTCTTGTTACCCAGGCTGGAGTGCAATGGCGCGATCTCGGCTCACCGCAACCTCCGCCTCCTGGGTTCAGGCAATTCTCCTGCCTCAGCCTCCTGAGTAGCTGGGATTACAGGCTTGAGCCACCACACCCGGCTCATCTCCTTCTTAATCACTTTCTTTACCCCCAGGTACTCTCTATCTTTCCCAAGAAACCATCCACTCATTCAAGAAGCATCTACTGAACAACTGCATCAAACCCTGGAAGATACAACCTAAGTGTCTGTCCTCCAGCAGGAATTTTTGCCTTTTATTTTAAGCACTTCTGTCTTTTAGTAAGCCATTATTACTTGTTTAAATAAAAAGTACTGTCACAGAAGCCAAGTGTTTCTCTCTGCCTACACCTACCTTCAGGGACTATTCCGGGGCAAGGGTAGATTTAGGCTTTAAGACTGTACTGCTGGTCCCCACACCCTTCACAACCTCAGGTGACCTTGCAGCCGCACTGCCCTATACGCAGTATCAAGGCTTTGTCAGCAGTGCCTGCCAAGCAGTTTCTGCTGTTGCTTTTCTATAGCCAACAGGCAGGCTGGGTATGGTGGCTCAACTGTAATCTCCGCACTTTGAGAGGCAGATACAGGAGGATCACTTGAAGTTAGGAGTTTAAGCCCAGCCTGGCCAACATGGTGAAACCCTGTCTCTACTAAAATTACCAAAAATTAGCCAGGCATGGTGGCGTGCACCTGTAATCCCAGCTACACAGGAGGCGGAGGCACACGAATCACCCGAACCCAGGAGGTGGAGGTTGCAGCAAGCCGGCACCGCACCACTACACTCCAGCCTGGGCAAGAAAGTGAGGCTCAGTCTCAAAGAAAAAAAACAGGCAAACTGCAATGTGTGGCAGAGAAGGGAGCTCAAGGTTTCTGGCTTAATGAAAAAGGCACAGCTCCCCATGTGATCCCTTCTTGCCAGAGAAGAAAACAGTCAGTACTGAACTGACTGACATCCACTAATGAAGCAGCAAGCTCACAAACAGTGGTGGACTTTACGCCACTGACCCAAGCTGAGCCCAGAGGGGAAAAAACCCTTGAAAAGAGGGTGGAGGAGATGCACCAGTGAGCTGTCAGCTTCTGCGTTCCCAACCCACAGCGACCATTACCACTTGGGTTCGCCCCTGTAAGCCCAGGGATTATACAGAAAGCCTGAGAAGCAGCTTTGGGCCTCCTTAGACAGGGTTTGGTTGGAGGAAAGAGAGAATATTAGAGAATCAAAAAACCCATATTCTGTTCCCACTTTTATTAATTCAACAAGATAGTTCTTTGCCACTAACTTACTGAGCAGTCTAATTACCTTGTCTCCCTTTCTGTCAAATGAGTACACAAAACTGGTTAAACACTGCTTCTCTGAAGACTCATATTTACATAAACATAGAAGTCCCCCAAGTCACTTACATCCAACTTAGGGAAATCTGTTAGAATTTGTGAAAGTCTATCGTGGTAATTCTGTTGAGTAAATTTGACTTTTCTCATGTAAAAATGTCTAATGCGATGAATTTGGTAATGTTTATGAATAACAGTTGGAGTCTTTCGCTGAGTCTTCGACAACGTCAGGTCAATAAAGTCCTGCAATTAAAGAAAATAAGACATAATTAAATCAAAAGTGTCTACTTCTGATCCATTTATTTGAAACCATCTTAAAACACTAACATCTTACGGTACTACATATTTTAAATTACAAAACTTTACTCTAACTACATATTTTATATACAACCTTGTTCTTCTTTATAGTTTCTGGCCTTTAAGAAACACATGGCTGCTAAGATAAATTTTACCCCATACTTTCTTGATGCTATCTTAATTTCCAAATACCTAAGAACTTTTGAAGCTTAAGTAGTCAGAGAACTCCACCATAAATCAGAAAAAACAGTTGGGAAAAAGAAACAATTCTCCCATTTCTTTACGCACATCTTTGGCTTTGAAAATACATAAAACAACAGGTAAAACAAAAATCCACTGTCTAGAATTTCCTAAGAGCATGGAAGGGGACTATTTGAGGAGATGAAGGATTTCTGCATGAGTTTCCCAGTGCAAAGAGTCAGCACTTCTCCTTAATAAGGACCGATCCCGAGGATTCCTCAATCCGATGTATCTAGCCACTCTCTAGGCACACAAAATTCTTTGATCTTTTTTCTTGAACACTTTGATTAATTCAACAATTTGATTAACTCAATATTATTTCACACAAAGGTTGTTAGGGATATTCAGGTGCTGAACATAATGAACAAGATACTGTCCCTCCAAGGAAATCAGGGTCCAGTGACAGAAGTAAACAGGTGGCCACGATCGTCTGCCAAGTATCATACTATGAGGGGCACGCACATTCTCCCCTCTGAGCCTACAAGTGAGACAAGTAAACTGGTGGTCACAGCAGTCTGCCAAGTACTATGAGGGGCAC